ACACTTGGACAAACAAAGTTTCTGGATTAATTATTTCTGTGTTTTCACACACTTGGACAAACAAAGGTTCTGGATTAATTATTTCTGTGTTTTCACACACTTGGACAAACAAAGTTTCTGGATTAATTATTCCTGTGTTTTCACACACTTGGACAAACAAAGTTTCTGGCAAAAGTCTGCAAAGTGCTGAGTGTTTGAGAATTTTTTGTTTAATATTTTGACCGTATCATTACGATGTGCTTCCAACATTGAATCTCACTAGAGATATTCCAGGAAGATTTGGAATATTTGGAATGTACCAGTTGGATCAAATTCAAATGTGATATTATTTTATTATTATTATTATCATTATTCTCTTTTAAAAAAAGTAATGCTGTGAAGGCTTTGTAAAAAAACTTGTCAAAAGTTGAATGAAAATATCCATTTTCAAACTTTTTCACTTATCAGAATTTTTGAGTTAAGTATTTCTGTTTGATTTTAAATTGACAAACTATAAATATAGTATAAATTCAATTTCAACAGTAGCAAGATTACTAAATGTCGGTATGTTCCCCAATGGGACATCGGTAAGTTTAAGAACTTACAACGCTAGAATCCGGGGTTCGATTCGCCGCAGTGATAGCCCAATGTGGCATTACTCTAAAATAAACAAACTTTTCTTATATACAATGTAGCCGCGTAAACGGCGAGGGCTGCTGATCGCTTACCCTCCTTCTAGTCACCATTTCTAAGTTAAGAATGGGAGTCCTAAACCATGGGAGTCTCTGAGTTGGTTGTTTAGCATAAAGGGGCCATTCAGAGTGAAAATACGAAATAACTTATAGGCATCTTTAAGAGAGTAACATTTAACTGTGAGAATAAATTGTGTGAATATTAAAACGCTACTATTATTTCTTCTAGTATATCCAATTCAATAAAGGTTGAGGAAGAAAAATATTACCTTCTAGCAAATTCTGAAGGTCTTCACACTGCTTTACCTGGAGATAGCCTAAATGAAAAAGAGCGCCGCCTAACGGAGATGATTCAGCAATTACAAGAACTTCGGGATCAGTTGGTAGCCCAGCAGCGACACCAAAGTCGGGTAAGATGACAAGGATTTTTGCATCTGCTTGAGTGAAAAGCAAACGTAGATAATAATAATAATAATAACATATTTTCATTATATGTTCAAATAGTTATATTTATGCATAAGAAATAACACAGTATGTTTGCATACTTTCAATATACATTAATTTTGTATAAAAAATCACAGTCATTTATTAAATAATATTTGAAATTATTAAACATTAAGTTTAATAGTTGAAAGTGGAGTACCGGAGTGTGGATACCAGGGCCCTTGGGTCGCATCCCATTGCCGCACAAAATGCTCTTCTTGTTTTGGGGCCACTATTCGATAAGAGTAGCCCAAGAGTTACTGGAGGGGTTCTGTTGAGTAGTTGTCTTCCCTCTTGCAACAGTAAGATAATCGTACAAAGATTCCACAATGTGGAAGTACTCTCCTTGCAGCAAACAGAATATAAATACAACAGTCACAAAAACGGTGTAGATACTATATCAGGCAAAAATACAGAACGCCAACTACAATACAACTTTCTATAAAGTATTATGATAATATATACAGAACGCCAACTACAATACAACTTTCTATAAAGTATTATGATAATATATACAGAAGAACGCCAACAACTACAATACAACTTTTGATAATATATACAGAAAACATAGAAACTTTATAAATGTCAACAGATAAATACCCAAGGTAAAACAACCACAGATAATATGTATTATTGTTTGTTCTGTACTCACTATGGGATATGTCCAGCCTATCGGTGTGCGTGCCAGACCGAGGATCCATGGTTCGCGCTTCGCATATTAGAGGCGTGGGTTCGTTTTAAGAGTGACGGCCAATCCCACTATTCGTTGGTAAAAACTGACCCAAGAGTTGGCGGTGGATGGTGTTGGCTAGCTGCCTTTCATCTGGTCTATCGCTTCAAAATTGCACGAAATTAAACAAACGAACAGACAAAGAAAATATTTAGTTCGCCTTTTTTTTTACTGTAAATAATTAACTTATTGCTTAAAACTAATTTTTAGATAGTAAACTTTTTCGTTTCTAAAAACGTACGTATATATATATTTAAAACATTTTATACCACAAAAAAAAACAAGAAACAAATAGACAAAGTTTGACCACCATATATTTTAATGTCCAATAATAGATCTCAACATGCTTGTCAGCCAACGTTTGCGTTTTATTTAAATTTTTGAGGTCATCGAGTTCAATAACCCTAACTGAAGGTGTAACGTTAGTACAGCTAGCTGTGAATAATTAGTCCTAGCTTTTATTTATTTTTTCTTTCCTATTGGCGGTTTTTAAATCCAAAGCAGTCCGTGATACATACGAAAAGTTGATTACAGTCCGTAAATCAGCGGCCCTTTGCTGTAGCATTTGTCACCGTTGTTTCTACGTGCATATCTACGGCCCTTACAAACTGTCATAATCAGCGGCCCTTTGCTGTAGCATTTGTCACCGTTGTTTCTACGTGCATATCTACGGCCCTTACAAACTGTCATAATCAGCGGCCCATTGCTGTAGCATTTGTCACCGTTGTTTCTACGTGCATATCTACGGCCCTTACAAACTGTCATAATCAGCGGCCCATTGCTGCCTTCCCTCTAGTCTTACACTGCTAAATTAGGGACGGCTAGCGCAGATAGCCCTCGTGTAGCTTTGCGCGAAATTAAAAACACACACACACACAAACACATACTGCCCAAAATATCAATGGTCACTGTAAGAAGCTGATGTGAGAACCTGCGAGATCAATCCTTGACCGAATTTCTTAACATACGTTCCACAAACCTAGAATCCTCCGGTTCACAGAGCGGGAGAAGGTTTCATGCAAAAATTAGGCTTATTGGCCATTCAAGAGTACATTAGATACCCTGAGATATAAAACGGCTGTTATCTTTACATATGAGGGACGGACACGTACATACAGACCCCCTGTACTTCAACGTCGGTTTCAAAGATATAAACGTCCATTAGGTTGTTACGGGTGACTTGAAAATATGGAGTGGGATGAGATTGTTTCAATTCCAGTGTTTTCGGTCAAATTTCTCAGAGAAACAGCTGTTGATTTCAAGCCATGTCTTCGTGTCCGCTTCAAACCTTTGTGTGTCATCTTCTTACTTGGACTACAAGATAAATCCAGCTTTATTACAATGGTATTTTGTGAGGGTTGTGATCCAGATCGGTTTTGAGTGCGTTTTCAGAGCTCGTAGCGCCCTGGTCTGAGAGTTTTTCAATTCCGGGGAGAACAATGAAGGCTTCTGTCGCTGAAGTATTATGTCTTTCGGTTCTTACATCGCTTAAAATCCTCGTCTTTTTTATCAGAAATAGTTCCGATGTATGTCTCCAGCCATGTGCAACTCGAGGCGGCGGTGGTCTTACAGTTGCCAGTTATATAACTGTTAAGTTATTTCTCAGATCGATCTTATAAAATATAATTGAACTTTTGTATGTTACGAAAAGCGATATATGACTGTTTGGTTTGTTTGTAGTTAAGCACAAATCTACACGAAGGGCTACCTGTGCTTTGCCCACCACGGGTATCGAAACCCGGTTTCTAACGTTGTAAGTCCGCAGACATACCGCTATGCCACTGGGGGGGGGGCACTATTCTGTAAGACAATAGAATTCCAAGAATTTGTAATGGGTGTCGTTGGGTATTTGCTTTCTCACTCTAGCCTGTAAATGTAAACTTAGGGAGTGCTAGCGCAGAAAGACTTTGAGTAACATAGTAAAGTAGACGTATGTATAACAATATAGTTTAGGACATAGTAAAGTAGACGTGTGTATAACAATATAGTTTAGGACATAGTAAGGTAGACGTGTGTATAACAATATAGTTTAGGACATAGTAAAGTAGACGTGTGTATAACAATATAGTTTA